TATATATATATATATATATATATATATATATATATATATAAAGAGGATCGCTATGCTCGAAAGTCACGAAGAACAAGTTCAACAGCTATTAAGCATCAGGGCGGGGCGAGGTTGCTTCTGCAATGAATACGCCAAGTAACTCCTTACTCCTTACTCCTTGCCAAGTAATTAAAATCTTGGATTCGCGTTCAGCTAATTAAAATCAATTATCGATTAAATACCGTTACACGTACTCTATTTTATTTATTTCATCTTGTATACAGTTTTCACTTAATAAATTTATAAATATTGTTGTATATTATTTCTTATCAACACGGAAATAATTCTAGCAAAAACATATTAACCGTTTTACTCATTTTTACTCTATATAAATTCAATTTAAATTTTTTATGTTTATCTAACTATAATTACCGCGATGTATTTTTTACTACAACTGACCAATTAAATTTATTTAATAAGTTAACGGGTTTTATACTTTGGATTTTATTATTGTACTTTGTAATATGTCACATTATTTCTTTGGAAAAAAATTAGGGTTGCAAATTGTTTAATTTAAAAATTTTATATAATTTTTATTTATAAAAATTAAAAAATTTGTTAGTTTTTTTCAATCATCTATATTATTAAGAGATTAAGAGAAATTTTGTGTCCAGGATAGTCATATATGATGAGGCTGAATTCTAAAATGCTCTATTTTTAACTACGTAATAATGAAATGACCTTGTATCTTGTGAATTATTGACATTTTTAAAGATATAAGCTCATCCCGATGTTACACTGATCAAGACTTTTCATTTGAGTACCCACATCAATTTTTCATATATTTTATATATTTATATATAATATATATATAAATATATGAAAAATATATCAAAAATGCATGTGGGTACTCAAATGAAAACTTTCAATGAGTGTAACATCGTAATGAGCTTATATCTTTAAAAATGTCAATAATTAAAAACTGATAGGGCTATCTTGTCAACTATTGACATTTTTAAAGATATAAGCTCATCCCGATGTTACACTGATCAAGACTTTCATTTGAGTACCCACATCAATTTTTCATATATTTTATATATTTATATATATTATATATATGTATTTATGAAAAATATATCAAAAATGCATGTGGGTACTCAAATGAAAGCTTTTGATGAGTGTAACATCAAAATGAGCTTATATCGTAAAAAATGTTAATAATTAAAAACTAACAAGGGTATTTTGTCAACTAATGTTATTATTAAAGATATAAGCTCATCTCGATGTTACACTCATCAAGACCTTTCATTTGAGTACCAACATCAATTTTTCATATATTATATATATTTATATATATGTATATATGAAAAATATATCAAAAATGCATGTTGGTACTCAAATGAAAGCTCTTGATGAGTGTTACATCCGGATGAGCTTATATCTTCAAAAATGTCAATATTTAAAAAAGTACAGTGCAACTTAATTAGTCATTATTTAATAAATCAAAATTTTTTAGAACCTTAGTTTTAAATAAATCCGCTAGGTGGCTACAATTCTCGTAGTTAGAATTCTGAAATTTTAGTATTTAACTTCAATAAAAAATTTTTAGAAGTTCAGGATTCGAATCTTAGACAAAATAATATTTTTTTATATACCTTAATAAAATTATTTATAAATTCTATTAATAGTTAAAAAATATTTAGTTTTATTTAATAAATAAATAAATTAATTGATAGTTAATAAATTTTCCTATCAATGTATAAAAAAAATAAATTTTTAAGTTCTAAAATTCTCCGCTAGATGGCTAAATTTTCTCGCAGTCAGACTTGTAAAATCAGTGTAATATATTTAATTTAGAATTTTTTTTCAATTTTCAGGATTATAATTCCGGATAGAGTCTATATAATTAAAATATAAAGTGTTATTTAATAATTATGTATTAAATAAGACTATCAAGACAATTGACAAGTGTATTTGTACGTAAATGAAAACATCACTCAAGATTTTATTAAAACTAAAGCATTATAAAAAATAAGAGCCGGTAAAGTTATGCAGATTGTTCTTGCACAGACGGACTTTAATGTTCACATAAATCCTCTAGCACTTAACTCAATACACTTTTATTTTTATTATTCCGTTGGTTTTTTTTAAAACTAGGACATCACGTGGGCGAGATGTGTGTAAACATATAAACATAAACATATAGATCCATACATGTGAAGATAATTATATATATCATAACATATCAACGTAATGTATGACGTGATATCCATGTCGAATCACAAACTAGTCCATAGAATTTCCAACTTCCGTTAAATAAATGGATTCCTCCAGAAGATTAGCAGAATAAGAGAAAATTAGTTTGTTATTTTTAAATCAAAGAAGAAATTGTTGAATTTAAAATCTTCTGGACTCGGAGAAGAGGTATCATGTAGATCATGACTCAATCCTGATTGTTATTAAGAAATAATGACTTTAAACGGTACTTTTGAGAATGGAGATGTTATTTAATGGTATGCAAGATGCTGTTGTAGACCTAACTGATGGAATATGTGAGGTGTGAGGTCTTGATGCGTGGGCTTAATTTTATTCTAATCCTAGATTGTTTCTAATAGTGTGGAAGAAATTATTTAAAAGAAGAAGACTCACCTTCAGGAACTGGAATTACTTTGTGCCCAGGAAAAGTGGGCTGGTTGTCATTGATGTCGATCACCCGGACACTCAGAGCCGCTGTTCCGGTCAATTGGGGGTTGCCTTGGTCAGTTGCTATTATTGTGAGCCGGTACTTCTCGCGGATCTCGCGGTCCAGGACTATGTTGGTTCGCACTATTCCGCTGTAAGGTGGACTTATGGTGAAAGCATTGTCAGGGTTGCCGTCTACTATGTGGTACAGGATTTTGCCGTTTATATCTTGGTCTGCGTCGCTTGCTGATAACTGTATGGTTTAATTTAATTTAATTAGTTAATAGAATTAATTTAACAATAATAAATATTTTAAGGAAATATTACGTTTGATAAAAAATTATAGTGTTAAAAAAATCTATAAAATTTTATTAAAAATTTTTTTGTAAATAAATAACGCTTATAAGCATACTAAGGAAAAAGTGAAAAATTTCATAATTAATTCTTAAATATGCTCATTAGCATATCAAAGAAGAAAACTAAGATTCTATTGAAAATTTTTAAGGAATGCAATTTTAAGGAGAAATTTATAATTTTTAATAAAAAATCAATAGGGTAAATGCACCAATTAGTTGACCAATGTATAAAAAAGTTAATTAATTAATATTTTACAAGGGTTTTTTTTCTTAAAGTATTAAAATAAAAACATATGGCATTTAATCATCAGAATAAAAAATTACGCAATTAATTGCGCAGTGATTATAGCTTTAAAAAAATATTCTTAGTTTGTTTACAACGCAACCAGCCATAAAGCGGTCAAAAATAACTAGCGTACAATTGGAGAGTGAGTGCATTTCATCATTAATTTAGTGATATTTATCGGCATAATATAAAATATTTTAGTTTTATTATGTTAATTAAAGATCAGATTTCAACTTTTTTGAAAAAATAAAGTTAAATTATAAGTTTTAATATTATTTTAAGACCAGTCAACTATTGGATCCGTCAGAAGCCCTTTACCCAGTCAAAAATTCATTCGGTCATTTATTAGACCCTCTGATTTTATCACAATCCAATTAATCACCGTATATTTATAATACTAACTTCTTGATCTCAAAATTAAATCTGTCAAGTGTTTAAAGTACTTTAGTCATTCAATATTTTGTAAATATAAAAATAATCATTATAAAATGTATATTTATAATTAAAATAATACTTAAAATCTTTTTTGATTATTAAATTTTATTTTGTTGTAATTTTTTTAGTGAACGGTTATATCAAAGAACGAATTATTAGAAGAAAAAATTGCTAAGCAATTAAAAAAATAAAAAAGAGTTACAAGCTAGTAAAAAAGCTTTAATTGAAAAAAAGAAGGAGAAGAATAAAAAAATTTCAAGTCAATCAGAAGAATTATCGTCATCAAAATGAATTTGTGATTATTTGTGACCTAAAGAAATGTGACTTTATGTTAATTTTTGCTATTATTTATATTATTTTATAAAAAAGTACGACTTAAAATTATATTGTATGTTTAGTTTTGTTAAAGATGTCGTTAATACTTCAAAAGTACTGCATAAATTTAATTACATACATGTAGTTTACAAAATTACTTATAATTATTTGAGCGGTGAATTAATTGGAGAACGGTCGGTCATTTATTGAGTTTCTTCGGTCAATAATTGGTGATTTAGTATTTCAACATTCAAATAACAAAATTAATATAATTTTGTTAATTTTTATTATAAGGTAAGAGCCCCCATTATTGACAATATAAGAGTGACGGCGAAGATTTGAATTTTTTAACCGTATTCAAATTAATCTGACTAATTTTTTTTTGTATTAGACACTTTTTTTGATTCATCAAGAATGAAGTTTGTGTATTTTAATTTTTATACTTAAATAGTCGCTAATTAAATGACAAATATATTAATTTGAAATCACCAACTCAAGTGTAGGTATTATTGACAGGGTGAAATGGTATCGGAGCCAACTATTGACACCCATAGACCCTATTATTGACAGGTGTCAACCCTATTATTCAGGTTTAATTGAAATTTAAACTTCGAATATAATTTATTATTTACTAGTAAACAACAAGATTTTGCTCAGACAATTCTTTTTTTAATATAAAATTACTCGAGACATGTAAACAAATCCGATATGTATGTTAAAGAAGTTAAGTTTCTTAAAATTGTAGGCTGTCGCTAGTTAAACACATGTTAATTTTTATGTACCTACTATTGACACCCGCTATTTTTAAATCATAATTAAAATTTTTTTGCAGTTAATAATTAATACCAAAGCATAAAATTTTACTTTTTTCTTACTAAAAAATTTCTAAAAATTGATAAAAAGCAATGTTTATTGTGATTTAATAATAGAATTGATTAAATAATCAATCAAATAAAACAACATGTCAATAATAGGGGCTTTTACCTTAATTATGAAAATAAAAAATTTAATAAATTTATTAATAAAAAAAAAACTTTGATGAAAACTTACTTTAACAACAAAAGTTCCTTTAGCATTTCCTTCTAGAACAGTAGCCGAATATTGAGTCTGAGTAAAAATGGGCGCATTATCATTGACATCAGATATTTCAACAACTAATTTAGCATATGCCTCCAAAGGCTCTGATCCAGTAGTCTTAGCGACCAAAGTTAAGACTCTACTGGACTGACTTTCTGAAGAATCAATCCACAATTCAGCATCTAGCTTCGCCGGGTCATTAATTTTGAGCATACCAGTATCGCGATCAATGACAAAAGTATCAAAATAATTTCCAGAAGCGATTGAATAAGCCACATGCTGCCGCCGGCCATCAGTACGCACGGCAGTGACTTGTAGAATTTCCGTGCCAGCAGCCGAGTTTTCCTGAACGTCGACCTGGTAGGACTCATTCTGGAACTTCAACATTGGAACAACGTCATCAGGATCTCCAACTCTGAGCTCGATCAAGCCTTGAGTGGTTTTAGGCGGCGTGCCTTTGTCTCTGGTGACTATTTGGAGGTGGAAGGTCTTGCCGTAGTCCTGGGTCAAGGAAGCGATCGCGGTGAGGACCCCGGTGGTCGGGTGAATGCGGAACTTGGACTTGGAGGTCTCGACGTCGCTCGAAAAGGCGTAGGAGACCTCGCCATTGGCTCCTATGTCGGGGTCTGAGGCTTGCACTTGGAGGATTGTGTGCCCCGGCTGGGTCGTTACGGGCACGCTCGCTTTGAACGGCGTCTCGGTGAACGCAGGTGCATTGTCATTAACGTCTGTTAAATTTATCTCGATGGGTATTGATGTACTTTTCGCGTCATAGCTTCCGCTATCGGTTGCTATCACCAGGAAGCTGTAGCTACTCTGCCGCTCACGATCCAACGCTCTGTAAAATAAGTTAACGCTCGTTAATAATAATATTACTATAAATTTGTTATTTATAAGACGTTCATGGTTGAACTTTAGAATTATCAAAATCAGGTAGTATGTCAGAATTTTTTTAGACACACTGACAGAAGGATTTATTAACTATAAATAATTTAATTTATTTTAAGACAATTAGTTAATTTATTAAATTTTAATAAATATTTATTTGGGAGGTAAAAAAAATTAAAATTTTGCTTAATTAAATAATGAATTTTGTTAAATTGCACTGTACTTTTTTAATTATTGACATTTTTAAAGATATAAGCTCATCCTGACGTTACACTCATCAAGAGCTTTCATTTGAGTACCCACATGCATTTTTGATATATTTTTCATATATACATATATATAATATATATAGATATATAAAATATATGAAAAATTGATGTGAGTATTCAAATGAAAGGTCTCTTGTGAATTATAAATAAATAAAATTTTGCTTAATTAAATAATGAATTTTGTTAAATTGCACTGTACTTTTTTAATTATTGACATTTTTAAAGATATAAGCTCATCCTGACGTTACACTCATCAAGAGCTTTCATTTGAGTACCCACATGCATTTTTGATATATTTTTCATATATACATATATATAATATATATAGATATATAAAATATATGAAAAATTGATGTGAGTATTCAAATGAAAGGTCTTGATGAGTGTAACATCGGGATGAGCTTATATCTGTAAAAATGTCAATAGTTAACGAAATACAAGGTCATTTCTTAATTATTGACGTATCTAAAGATCTAAGGCCATCCTGATGTTACACTCATCAAGAGCTTTCATTTGAGTACCCACATGCATTTTTGATATATTTTTCATATATACATATATATAATATATATAAATATATGAAAAATTGATGTGGGTACTCAAATGAAAGCTTTTGATGAGTGTAACATCGGGATGAGCTTATATCTTTAAAAACGTCAATAATTAAAAAAGTACAGTGCAACAACAAAAGTCATTATTTAATAAAGCAAAATTTAATTTATTTATAGACAATTTAATTAATAGTTTCTGAGATATCTTAAAATTACTTAAGATTTTGTGGAAGCAATTGCTGAAAATTTTTTTGGGGAATTAATTTTTTTTTTATCAATTGGGTGGCTTTAAAACGAAAATTATTCTCATAAAATTCAAAGTTTTTGAGGTATAAATTTTTGAAAATTATCGGAAAAGGTAATACAATTTGTGAAGACAAACACTTAAAACTTGTTACTCTTAATACTATATTTTCAAAGTTGGTGATCACTCATGAAAAAATCACTCCTAGGATTTTACCAAAAATACAGCTCATTTAAAGTATAAAAAGCTATTACTAGATCCAAGGATTTTTTTTCAAAATTTCCATTTTTAACAATAAACTCGATCTTTTTCTCTACAAAATTCGCGAGTAAACTGTTAGACTTATTAATTTTCTTAATTTTAAAAATAAAAAAAAGCTTCGATCTTGCTAATAGATTAACTATTAAACAAATGATTATTTGTTGTTTGATTGATTTTTAATGAACTAATGAAGAGTTATGATGGTGACCTTGAAGCACTACTTGGAGAACGGGCTCCAAAAAAGATGGCGATGACTTTCTTTACAATAAATATTTTTTTTTTAATTCCAGCCAACTCAAGTTGAACACATAATATAATAACTCGGTATTATTAATTTAAAAAACAAAATTAAATTAGTGTCGACTCCAAATATTAAAAATCCTCATATTTTCCTTTATCTTTCCGGCTTTTAAATTTCGCGCCGCTCGCGCACCTTAACTTTAACCTCCAAGGAACCGCGGCCATTTCGTTTATACTCAGCAAACTTCAGCTCTATCCTCCATTTTGTGTTGTAGCAAGCTAGTTCTTTATGTAAAAATCTAGAAAGTGAATTTCGGCGTTTATATTGTTGAAATGGAAGAAATTGGAGTTTCTATGAGCGCAGTTGGCTAAAAAGCAATCGCGTTTGGTTCGAAGCCGGCAAAAACCGTGAATATTCGAGCGATTTAAAAGCAAAGATCAAGCTTGCTTTGAACGTCGGACGGGTACGTGCGAGTGTGATATGTTTGAAAGATGGGTATATAATATATGTGTGTGTATGTGAGAAAGAAGTATGGTTTGCTACAAATTAGCTGGCTGCTTTTTAATAAGTCGAATAAAACCTCGTTATTCCTGATAAAATTCGCGGATTTTCAGCGAATTTACAGTCATCAGACTTCTTCGGACTTAAATGTAACCAGCATGTTGAGAGTGAAGGATAATGGAGCAGAACATATTGTGTATAAGTACATAATAATATATGATGATGATGATGAAAATATATATTTATGGAGTATCTTTAATTGACGTCTAGGATCCACGATAAATATTCGCCTTTGTTTGAGGGTAAAAATCCATTATTGGAGCCGGAGATGTATTTGCGTGTTATGTGACGTTAACAATGACAACAAGTCGGACTCCTGTTCGGGTGAGGTGAATTGGGTTGGTGCGTGCGTGCGTGAATTCAGGCTAACAGTTGCTGAAGAGACTGGTTTAGGTTGCCTTTGCCTTCGCCTTCGCCTTCGCCGGATGGAGAACGATGTCGGATTGCGTTTTTGCATATCGGAGGATTTTTTCCCGGGTGAAATAATGCATTCAAATGCCACGGGGTGTCACGGTGAAATGACACACGGTTGTCGCCTCCGTGAAATAATGGCCGGCGGTCGATCTTTTTGTTGTTCCTCATACCTCTCTTCGTTATTTCTAACCCTTTTGGGCTCTATTATATTTTTTTTCTTTTTTTTTTTCAATAACTTTATTGGTCTCATTTTTTCTATCTTTAAGATTTTTTCAGTTTAGATTATCAAAAAATTTTAGAAAAATTTTTAATACATTTTCTGAAGCAATTTTTTCATAAAAATTTTTTTTTTTTAAATTTTAATTTATTAATTTTATTAAAAATTTTATGAAAATATGAAAAATTTTATACTAACAATTTTAGTGGGCCTTAGCAATAATTTTATGAAATTTTAATAGTAAAATTTCATATTAAAGTATTTTTCCGAGTTTTCATAAATAAAATTGAACGGATAAAAAAATTTATTAATTACTAGCAATTTTGCAGTCACTACGTGACTGCCGTAACTTGTGAATTATGAATAAATAAAATTTTGCTTTATTAAATAGCGACTTTTGTTAAATTGCACTGTATTTTCTCAACTATTGATATTTTTAAAGATATAAGCTCATTCCGATATTACACTCATCGAGAGCTTTCATTTGAGTACCCACTTGCATTTTTGATATATTTTTCATATTTACATATATAGGTATAATATATATAAATATACAAAATATATGAAAAATTGATGTGGGTACTCAAAGGAAAGGTTTTGATGAGTCTAATATCGAGATGAGCTTATATCTTCAAAAATATCATTAGTTGACAAGATAGCATTCAGTTCTTAATTAATGACAATTTTTAAGATATAAGCTCATCCCGATGTTATACTCATCAAGAGCTCTCATTTGAGTACCCACATGCATTTTTGATATATTTTTCATATATCCATATATATAATATATATAGAAATATACAAAATGTATGAAAAATTGATGTGGGTACTCAAATAAAAGGTCTTCATGAGTGTAATGTCAGTATGAGCTTGTATCTTAAAAAATGTCAATATTTCACAAGATACAAGGTCATTTCTTAATTACGTGTCTAGTGATATTTTCGAATACAGCCTAAATACTTATCATATAAATTGAATATCAGTGAGAATGATAGGAAACCTTGAATAGGTACAAATTCAAGTCAAGACCTTTGCAATGACACTAAATTTCACTAAAAAAATCGATTTTATTGTATGACTATCCTGGAGACAAAATTTTTCTTATTCTCTTAATAATAAAGATTAATATATTCATCTAACAGTACAAAAAAAATTACTTTGTTAAGGATTCGAACCTTGAATCTCTAAAAATTTTTTAAGCAACTTAAATACCTAGATTTCAGAATTCTAACTGCGAGAATCGTAGCCACCTAGCGGTGACTTTTTAAACTAAAATTTTCAAAATTTTGAATTTCATCAATTGATAAAAAAATTCATAAAATTTTAATGATTTTAAGAATTTCTAAATAATTTTTTTAATTAAATTTTAAATAATTTTCTGATTAATAGCAAAAAAATATTAATTAAACCATTTAAAGCTGCCTGAACAAAAAGTCAATCAGAGCAGTTGAAGACTGAAGCCTTTAAAAAAACAAGAAACACCTGATGTGTGAAGCTCTGAAGCTGGGAAGTAAAACCCTGCGTTAATTGCCTCGACCTTTATTACCTTGCGTGATTAGGATCTTAGTAAAAATAATAGTAATAATATAATTTAAAAAAGTGTTAGCTTAAGTATGAAGCCCGTAGATGAGCTATGGCATTTATTTGATGCGTATGAGCGACGGTAGTTGGAAATTAACAAGATAGAGGCCGTAAAATTAATAATAAAAAGCTCGGTACCGAGTCAAGCTTTGAGTTTAAAACTTGTGAGTAATTTTATTGTTTTATTTGTTAAAGATTTTATAAATAATTAACGTTGGAGAGATTTTAAATAAATTCCAGTCATTCGCATCGTATCACGTCTTGTGCCAAGCAATATAAAAGACATTGACCGAGAAAAAGGAGCCCGGACTGGACTCTAGGTAGTAGAGTGTTGATGGTGACTGGTTGATCGTGAGCTTCTTGTGTTAGTAAATGTAGTAAATCCGTGTGCTGAAGAAACTATAGAGGTGAATAAGTTATACAAGGTCGAGGTCGGTTAATATGTAAGATGCTAAGTTGTATTGGCTAAGATGGTAAGATGCTAAGTAAAAGATCCCAGTTGAGATCCGAGATGTAAGAGCACGTCTTTTACGTTTCGCGGGCTTATCAGTATCATCATAATTAATTAGACGTCCGAGTTATAATCCTCGGAAACTTTTGTCTAAACTTTTATACGGTTATTATCGTTGGTAAGAGGCTAAGAAGCTAGAGTAAGATGGAGATCCAGATGGTTAATGATGACTGATTTTTGATAGCTTAAGTGACCGGAGAATTATCGCCTTTGATGCTTTTAATTGACTGGATTTTTAATTATTTTGTTTTGTTGGGCTTTTTTGGACACTTACTTTTTATGGTATTATTTTTGGGAGGTGAATATTTTAGATATATAAAATACTTTTTTTTTTTTTATTAATCGATTTGATAATATTTAATAGTTAATTTATTATTTTGTAAATATTTCTTTATTGATAATCTATATTATTAAGAGAAGAAGAAAAATTTTCTTTCCAAGATAAGATCGGATTTTTTTACATAATTAAGGAATGACCTTGTATCTTGTGAAAAATTGACATTTTTCAAGATATAAGCTCATCTTGATGTTACACTCATCGAGACCTTTCATTTGAATACCCACATCAATTTTTCATATATTTTGTATATTTATATATATTATATATATGTATATATGAAAAATATTTATAGAAATTTATGTGGGTACTTAAATGAAAGGTATTGATGAGTGTAACATCAGGATGAGCTCATATCTTTAAAAATGTCATCCTATATACTAAAATTGATGGTAGAATGAAGTTAGCTTAGTATCGAAAACATAGACCCTGATTCCTTATTGGTTGAGATTTAGATTGAAGTTAGCTTAGTATCGATATAACGTTCAGAATTAGAGCGCGCGCGTATACGCGCAATTTAAATTCCTAGTCAATTAAGAAATTATATATTATTTTGTTAACTAATGATATTTTTAAAGATATAAACTCATTCTGACGTTACACTCATCGAGACCTTTCATTTGAGTACCCACATCAATTTTTTATATATTTTATATATTATATATATATTTCACTAATATCAAATATGTAAAATATATGAAAAATATCATGTGGGTACTTAAATGAAAGGTCTGAATGAGTATAACATGGGGATGAGCTTATATCTTGAAAAATGTCAATAGTTAAGAACTGACTGGCTATCTTGTCTACTAATGATTTTTTTGAAGATACAAGCTCATCTCGATATTATACTCATCAAGACCTTTCATTTGAGTACTCACATCAATTTTTCATATATTTTTCATATTTATATATATTATATATATGTATATATGAAAAATATATCAAAAATGCTTGAAGGTACTCAAATGAAAGCTTTCGATGAGTGTAACATCAGGATGAGCTTATATCTTCATAAATGTCAACAGTTAAGAAAGTATAGTGCAATTTAACAAAAGTCATTATTTAATAAAGCAAAATTTTATTTATTTACAATTCATAAGTCATGGCAGTCACGTAGTGACTGCAACCTTGCTAGTAATTATTAACTAAACAATTTAATATTAAGAAATCTTGAATAAATTAACAAAATTTACTCAATGTAAGAAAAATATACTTTTTTTTTTCTAAAATTTAAACCTTAGACCTCTTAAACTCGTTAGTAAAGTTAAATACCGAAATTTTATAATTCTCACTACGAGAACTGTAGCCATCTAGCGGCAACTTGTCAAACTAACTTTCAAATCCAATTTATTCTACTAATTATTTAAAATTATTAAATTTATGTGTTAATAAATACACTAATAAAAAAATTTATTAATTATACAATTTCAAAAAATTATCAATTAATAATTATTAAAAATTATAAAATACCAAAAAAAATTTTTTTATCCGTCCATAAAAAAAAAAAAATAATTACTTTGACTAAGATTTAAACCCAGAACTTAAAAAGTTAATAAGTAACTTAAATACCCATATTTAAGAACTCTAACTACGAGAACTGTAGCCACCTAGCGGTGACTTTTTAAACTAAATTACAAATTTAATTTTTTTTTTTTTTTTTAATTATTAGAGTCTTTAACTGTTCAGATTGATATTTAATTTTGTGTGTTACACTTATTAATATCTTTTAAATATTTAAATTATCAATATAATTGATTAATTATTAATAGAAATTATTAATAAACATTAGTAATAAATTATTAATAGAAATTATTAATAAAAAATGATTGTAAAATAACTTACCCAGCTGTTGTGATGACTCCAGTAAAATTGTCAACTCGGAAGAGCCAAGAAGTCTCTTCAGCAATCACGTAGGTTATCTTTCCATTGATCCCCTGATCAGGATCGGTGGCTCGAACACTGAGAATCGAGGAATCCGGAGCCGTGTCTTCAGATATCGAGGTTACGTATTTGTCGGCTATGTAGTGAGGGTACGAGTTTGCGAACTGGTACTGGGGAGTCTGGGGGAAGAACTCCTTGGAGGGCCGGTATTGCTCCCTCAGGAACATCGGAGAGTTGTCATTCACGTCGATTACGATTACGGTGATGTTGCAACGGGTTTCCAGGCTGGGTCGTCCTTTGTCTTTAGCGGATATCGCGAGGTTGTACCGCGCTACTGTTTCCCGGTCGAGATTGAATGCTGATAAGTGACCGGTTACTGGATCTAGCTTAAATTTTCCTCCTAGATTTCCGCCTGAAAAAATTTTTCATTATTTATATTATTAAGAGAATAAGAAAAATTTTGTGTCTATGATAAGTATTTAGGTTGCATTCGAAAATGCTATCTCTAGACACATAATTAAGAAATGACCTTGTATCTTATCAACTATTGACATTTTTAAAGATATAAGCTCATTCCGATGTTACACTCATTAAGACCTTTCATTTGAGTACCCACATCAATTTTTCATATATTTATATATATTATATATATTTCATGAATACCATATATATGAAATATATAAAAAATGTCATGTGGGTATTCAAATGAAAGGTCTTGATGAGTGTAACATCGGGATGAGCTCATATCTTTAAAAATGTCAATAATGAAGAAATTACATTGTATCATATCAACTATTGACATTTTTAAAGAAATAAGCTCATCTCGACATTATACTCATTGAAAGCTTTCATTTGAGTACTCACATCAATTTTTCATATATTTTATATATCTTATATATATTATATATATGTATATATCAAAAATATATCAAAAATGCATGTAGGTACTCAAATGAAAGCTCTTGATGAGTGTAACACCAGGATGAGCTTATATCTTTAAAAACATCAATATTTAAGAAAGTACATTGCAATTTAACAAAAGTCATTATTTAATATCTAAATTTTATTTATTCATAGTTCACAAATCACAGCAGTCACGTAGTGACTGCAAAATTGCTAGTTTGTATTATAATCAGAAATTTAAAAAAAATAATGAATTCATCAAAATATTTCCCTTAAATTTTTTTCATCGAACCCTTCCTTAGAAAATTTTTTTTTGATAGTAAAAAAAAGGTTTTTTTACTATTAACTTTATTTTTTTAAATTAATAATTAGAAAAAATGATTTAATTTTTTCTAAAATTAAACAATCCTGTTTAATAATATTCATTAAAAAAAATTCACTATCATGAGATATAAATTTTTTTTAACAATTTCAATTGATTTTAATTTTTCAGGATTTCTCTATAGATATATTATTTGCGGAGAACCAATTTTTCGTAATTAATATTTTTAAACAGAGAATGAATGACACTCTTTCATAAAAAAAAAAATTGTTTCTTAAACTTGAATCAAGTCGATTTTCTTCAAAAATTTAATTTTATTTTCTTTTCCTTAAATTTAATTTAATATTTAATATTTAATTTAATTTTCTTTTTCTTATTTAAATTTAATTTTATTTTTTAATCCTTGCTTAAAAATCTGTACATTTATGGAGCGAATTTTTAAAATTTTTCCACTAAATATTTCTAAACTTCTAAAAATTTTTTTCTTAAACTAAGAGTCGATTTTCTTCCCTTAAAAATTAAATTTAATAATTTATTAATAATAAATAATATAAAATAATAAATAATAATTTAATAATTAATTTAATTAAATTTTCTAAATTTTTATTAAAAAAATCTGTATATGTTAAATTAAAAAATAAAACTTACCAATAATACTGTAAGTAATTTCTCCATTAACACCCTCATCATTATCAACAGCAGCAACAGTGTGAATAACAGCATCATCTTGATTTTCCGGAACAGCAAGAGTGTAACAAGAGCCAGGGCGAAATTCCGGAGCATTGTCATTCTCATCCTGAACATTAACTTCCAAAGTGGTGAGATCCAGGAGCTTAGTAGACTTAGCGAGGATCGGAATAGAGTACCGATCTTTTTTCTCGCGATCCAGCGGAGCTGCCAATGAGACGACTCCCGTGGAAGAAATAGTGAATTTGTCGTCAGCGATGCCCGTTGGAATATCGAAAGTAACATTAACTGGAAATAAAAAAGGTAATCGTTATTTATTTGCGAGGATTTAGAGCCCGAGGACTAGTATGAGGATAAAAAGAAACAGATGTTACGATTAATATAGCCTTATCGTAAATAACGATAATACTGGGTTACAATGCGGCCGAAATCCGATCTCGACGGGCAGTGTCGTCGAAGCAACATTGTATATAATGTATATTGAATGTCCTTTAACCACCACAAACATATTATTCTTGGGCAGTGTGCTTGTATACACGGCTCCGGAATGGAAAGCCGAATTTAAATTTAAAGTTAAGTCCGATTCGAGTTTAACATACAAACATTTATATAAAAGGACCGTATTTTTTTCGCGTAGGCCGGATCTGCGTTTAAACGATTTTAGATTGCAGTTTTTTACTTTGCTACACTCTTTATTTACATAAAAGCTCTATAACTTGATGATAAATTTAAAAGATTCAAGTTTAATTGGAAATTTTAAGCTTTTACCACCCAAATCACGCAGTTAGGATTTTTATTTTACTATAAATGCCAATATTTTAAATTTTGGTAATAATTTAATGCTAATAAATTTAATAATTCCCTCTATCAGTGTGTTAAAAAATAAATTTGATAATTTTGATTTAATTGGATTAAAAAAAAAAAAAAAAATGTTAGTTCAAAAAGTCGCCACTAGGTGGCTACTCTTCTCGTAGTTAGAATTTTAAAATTTGGGTTTTTAACTTTACTAGAATTTTTAAGAGTCTAGGGTTCGAATTTTGGACAAAGAAATTTTTTTTTTACACTTTTTTACAACAGAAACATTTAGTGATTTTTAATAATTTTTTTATAGATTATTTTTTAACATAATTATTTATTTAATGAAATTTATTGACAGATTATCAATTCTTCTATCAGAGGTTTCAGAAATGAATTAAAAAATTTTTAGTTCTAAAAGTCTCCGCTAGGTGGCTACGATTCTCGCAGTTAGAATTTTAAAATCTGGGTATATAAGTATCTTCAAAAATTTTTAGAAGTTCAAAGTTCAAATCTTCAACAAATTAATTTTTTTTTGTAATGATAAAGGGATTTATTAATTTTTAATAAATTATTTTTTAACATAATTTATTAAATAAAATTTAATAACAGTTCATTAATTCTTCTATAAGTGGATTCAGAAATAAATTTAATATTTTAAAAAATTTAGTTCTAAAAGTTTCCGCTAGGTGGCTACTCTTCTCGCTAGTAGAATTGTAAAGTTTAAGTATTTTAGTTCCTTAGAATTTTTAAAGAAATTTTTTTTTATACTGATAAAAGGATTTATGAAGTTTTAATATATTTTATTAATTGTTAATAAATTATTTTTTAGCATAATAATTTATTAAATAAAATTTATTAATTATTCTATCGGTAGGTTCAGAAATAATTTTAATAATTAAAAAAATTTAGTTCCAAAAGTCTCCGCTAGAAAGCTACAATTCTCGCAGTTGAAATTCTAAAATCTATGTATTTAAGTTCCTTAAAAATTTTTTATAAATCCAGGGTTCGAATCCTCAGCAAAGTAATTATTTTTTGCACTTATAGAAGGTTTTATTAATTTTTAATAAATTTTATTGATTGATAATAAATGATTTTATAAAATGTTTTATTTAATAAAATCGGCTCTTATTATATACTCTAGTAAGATTTTTCTACTAGCGAGAAAGCGTAGCCATCTAGCGGCAAAACCAAGAACTAACTTTATTCAAATTTTACCGCAAAATAAAACTATTTTAAATTTATATTTTATTAATTTTTTGAAAAATTTAGTTTAAGAAGTTTCCACTAGGTGGCTAAAATTCTCGCAGTTAGAATTCTAAAATCTAGGTATTTAAGTACCTTAAAAAATTTTTAGCGGTCTAAGCTTCGAATCTTCAACACAGTAATTTTTTTTTTGCATTTTTAAAATTCTTCAATATTTTAATTAATTTTATTAAATATTTAACAATCATTTACTAAATAAAATTAATTAAGAATAAATATTTTTTTCTATAAAAATTTAACACAAAAATTTTTCCAATAAATCAGAAAATTCTACCAATTAAAAAATTCAAAGTAAAATACTATCGGCCATTTTGTCGGAATTTTTTTTCTAATAATCCATAACTAAATATCGTAAAAAATTTGTCTTATCCAATTAATCTAACACAAAAACCGGCAATAAATCAGTAGAAAATACCCATAGAAACAAAAAAAAAATGAAATATTTAAAGTAAAATATCTTGCAGAATTCATGAATATAATATTTATAGTATGTAATGGGCAGACAATAGTATTAGTGTTTAATAGATTCAATTTTAAAATTCCTGAGTACGTAGTTTAGCGTGTTGTTGATTTTTAGCGCGGTTTGAACAAAGCTTTTAGCTTCACGTACTGAAGTATGTACGTGGAAACGTTCTGGTTCAGGTATGAGGATATAGAGACCATCCCCTCTGGGATGATCACCAGCATCACCATTATACTATCACCCATACAGTATAATTCAGCAGAGATTCCCCATCAGCATCAGAAACAACATCAGCATCAAAATCTTCAGCACTAACACTCTCGGTCATTTGCCTATTATATATGCGTATCGCAACACGATGATATACGCGACCATTGTTCCTGTATTTTTCCATCAGCTTCTGTCCGCAAGAGTACAAATAAAAACACACCGAATCAAACGCAACAAAATAAGTTTAAGTAATAACTTAAATAAGAAGCTTACCTTGTTCGCCGAGAGCTGATCCAACGACATTGATAATAAACCCGCCGACGGCCAGATTTTCCGAGACGGTGGCCACTGGGTTTGGCAAAAGCAGTCGCGGAGGTCCTCTGCTTTGTCCCACGGCGATCGCTACTGTCAGGTTCATCACTGCGCGCCTAGGTGGCAATCCGTGGTCGTTCGCTGCCACTTGCAGAACCGTGTCTCGGGCTATTGGCTTCATTAGGGTTAGAAGACCCGAATCGTAGCCCAGGGAAAATCTTGACTCTTCGTTTCCTGAGACTATTACGTAGGATACTCGGCCATTGTTGTCTGTGTCTTTGTCTACTGCTATTACTCTCACGATGGTTGTTCCTAGAAATATAATTTTAAGAAATTATTTATTAGGGGAAAAGTTAGAAAAATTAAAAAGTTGATTTATTTTATAGGTTGAAAATTATGAAATTTTGATAATATCTCGGGAATTATAGGAGCTAGGAGAAAATTTTTAAGATGAAAATTTTAGGGAAAATTCTATTCTTTAAGGAAAAATTCACCCGGTTTCTTAATTTTGATTAGTTTGAAAGTTATTAATTTTTAAAGATCAACTAAAAGTTTGAAATTTTGAAAATTATTGACGATAGCTTCTTCATTGTTAAATTTTGAATATTGATATCTTGGAAATTATAGGAGTTAGGAGAAAATTTTTAAGATGTAAATTTTAGAGGAAATTCTCTTCTTTTAGGAAAAATTTACCCGGTTTCTTAATTTTAATCAGTTTGAACGTTATTAATTTTTTAAAGATCAACCAAAAGTTTGAAATTTTGAAAAATTATTAATAATAGCTTCTTCATTATTATTCTTTGAAAATTAATTTCGTGATAATTACAGGAGTTAGAAGAAAATTTTTTGAACAAAAGTTGTAGCAAAAAAAACTCTTCTTTTTGGAAAAATTCATCCGGTTTTCTTAATTTTGATTAGTTTATAAATTATTAATTTTTAAAAACTGTTCAAAAGTTTGAATAAATATTATTATTAATAGTATAGCCTGTAGTTAATCTTTGAAAATTTATATATCGGTTTATAATTAAAGGAGTTGGGAGAAAATTGTTCAAACAAAAGTAGTAGCGAAAAGTCTCTTCTTTAATAGAAAACTCCATCTGGTTTCTTAATTTTCATTAATTTATAAGTTATGAATTCTCAAAGATCAACTAAAAATTTGAATATTATTAACAATAGCTTTTTCATTATTAATTTGTATTAATTTAGAAGTTATGAGTTTTAAAAGATCTAAAAATTTGAAATTCTGAATAAAGTCCAAATTTTTAAACTTATAAAAATTTTTAATCTAATTTTAATCTAGCGCCTTAAAAAAAATTTCTATCACTATTAAAAGAAAACAAAATTTTTCTGCACTTCCTTAATCCCAAAAAATAAAAAAAAAAATTACATACCTGGTAATAAATCAGTAGTAACAGTAATTTTATTGACCTCAGGTGCGACGAATACGGGATCATTATCATTCTGGTCCAATACAATAATTTTAGCGGTGACAGTGGACGAAAGGCGATCAGCAAGAGGAGCGCGATCGGTAGCGCGTAAAAATAACATGTACTCAGTTTTTTCCTCGCGATCCAGAGGCTTGACGAGGCTGAGAGCGCCAGTGAGTGAATCCACAGCAAAACTTCCACTCCCGGGAAACTCGCTGACCAGATCATAGCGAAGATCACCATTCATTCCGCTGTCCAGGTCAGTGGCCGTCAAATTATAAATAATAGTACCCAGAGCGGCCGCTTCCGAGACCCGGATGTAGATCGGGTCCAGCGGCCATCTAGGAGCGTTGTCATTGGCGTCGTCAATCACAATCTTAACAGAGACCGCAATGCTTTGAGGATTTCCTATTGAAGTAGTGTCCAGGGCGCGAATTTTTAAATGATACTCGCTGACGTTCTCGCGGTCAAGAGAATGAGCAACCACCAGCTGCCCGGAGCTCCGGTCAACGTCAAAGGCCGGAGTGTTCGTCACTGGAGCTAAAGAGTCCAATGTATAGGCCACCCGGCCAGCTGGACCCGCTCCGGAGACTGACCCGATGGACTGACCGATACTCGCGTCCTCTCTCACGTGGAAGGTCAAGCTGCTGCTGGTAAATGTTGGCCGGTTGTCTGCTAACGCTAGGACTTCTACTCGCAGGGCCCGGATGCTGTGACGCGGGGGACGACCCGCATCGCTTGCTTTTACGGATACCCGGTAGACGTCGCGCTCTTCGTGGTCTAAGACGGATTTTGTACGGATCATCCCGGTTATTGGGTCGATTGTGAACACGTTGTAGCCGTCGGAGTCGCGGTCTGGAAAAATTGGAAATTTTATTAAATATTAAGTGTTACCATCTATTTTTTTTAAGAATGATATTATTAATGACCTTGTATCTTGTGAAATATTAACATTTTTAAAGATATAAGCTCATTGCGATGTTACATTCATCGAGACTTTCCATTTGAGTACCCACATCAATTTTTCATATATTTTATATATTTATATATATTATATAAATATATATATGTATATGTGAAATATATATCAAAATGCATGTGGGTACTCAAATGAAAGATCTTGATGTGTGAAACATCGGGATGAGCTTATATCTTTAAAAATGTCAATAATATAGAACTGACATTGCTATCTTGTCAAGTAATGATATTTTTAAAGATATAAGCGCACACCGACAATATACTCGTTGAGACCTTTCATTTGAGTACCTACATCAATTTTTCATATATTTTATATATTTATATATATTATATATATGTATATATGAAAAATATATCAAAAATGCATGTGGGTACTCAAATGAAAGCTCTCGATAAGTGTAATATCAGGATGAGCTTATATCTTTGAAATATATATTATATATCTGTATATATGAAAAATAAATAAAAAATGCATGTAGGTAGTCAAATGAAAGTTCTTGATGAGTGTAATATCGGGATGAGCTTGTATCTTTGAAAATTCATAGTTTTTGAGGTATAAATTTTTGAAAATTATTGGAAGAGATAATACCGTTTGTGAAGACAAAAACTTAAAACTTGTTACTCTTAATACTATATTTTCAAAGTTGGTGACCACTCATTAAAAAATCACTCCTAGGATTTTACCAAAAATACAGCTCATTTAAAGTATAAAAAGCTAGTACTAGATCCAAGGATTTTTTTTTTCCAAAATTTTCATTTTTACCAATAAACTCGAGCTCTTCTTCTACAAAATTCGCGAGTAAACTGTTAGACTTATTAATTTTCTTAATTTTAAAAATAAAAAAAAGCTTCGATCTTGCTAATAGATTAACTATTAAACAAATGATTATTTGTTGTTTGATTGATTTTTAATGAACTAATAAAGAGTTATGATGGTGACCTTGAAGCACTACTTGGAGAACGGGCTCCAAAAAAGATGGCGATGACTTTCTTTACAATAAATATTTTTTTTTTAATTCCAGCCAACTCAAGTTGAACACATAATATAATAACTCGGTATTATTAATTTAAAAAACAAAATTAAATTAGTGTCGACTCCAAATATTAAAAATCCTCATATTTTCTTTTATCTTTCCGGCTTTTAAATTTCGCGCCGCTCGCGCACTTTAACTTTAACCTCCAAGGAATCGCGGCCATTTCGTTTATACTCAGCAAACTTCAGTTCTATCCTCCATTTTGTGTTGTAGCAAGCTAGTTCTTTATATAAAAATCTAGAAAGTGAATTTCGGCGTTTATATTGTTGAAATGGAAGAAATTGGAGTTTCTATGAGCGCAGTTGGCTAAAAAGCAATCGCGTTTGGTTCGAAGCCGGCAAAAACCGTGAATATTCGAGCGATTTAAAAGCAAAGATCAAGCTTGCTTTGAACGTCGGACGGGTACGTGCGAGTGTGATATGTTTGAAAGATGGGTATATAATATATGTGTGTGTATGTGAGAAAGAAGTATGGTTTGCTACAAATTAGCTGGTTGCTTTTTAATTAGTCGAATTAACCTCTTACCTTTTAGAATACTGTAAGTAATAGTAGCATTTTCCCCCAAATCCGAATCTAGAGCCCTCACACGTGCAACTTCAGTCCCAGGTGGCTGTTCTTCCCTCACACTGACAACATCCCCTTGAGGATCCACTATTTCGGGGGAATTATCATTGACATCCAGCACAGTGACTCTGAGCGGCACCCTGGCCGCTCTAGATGGCGTTCCTTGGTCTCTAGCTTCCAGCACCAGCTCATGGATGCTCTTGGTCTCACGATCCAAAGGTTCACGTGTTATTATTTCCCCTGGAAAAAAACAAGCGTTGAAAGAACGTTAATAAATAATTCAGCAAGAGCAGAGCGAGTTAATTTCCAATCACGTAGCTTGTAAGCATTTATTCAACGCTGGTCAGCATGCCAATGAACGGAACAAGCAAATATAGATTTTTTGATTTTTTAACAATGACTCGTGTTTCTTGTCAACGTCCAGTCTGGTCAATATCACTGGATCTCTTATTCCAGGCCTCTAGTTGAAGAGTCGAGAGATCACCAGCTAAGCTCGTTTGGAGACTTTAATGCAGCCAAGGCTTTAGATAGCCGAGGAAATCCCGTATAGGCTGTTGGAACAACTTGGATGATATCGCGAGTGTCGCGTGCCAATCAAAGAGACACCGGGAACACCTTGTGCATGAAAGACACGCGTTAAAAGTGTCGAGTCTAGTTGTCCTGGCTTTTGATAACACCTTTGGAATTCACGGTGAGAACATTCCTTTCAATTAAATTGTCGGCGAGATCAATAATAGAATTGAGGGGAATTATTATCGTAGGGAGGGATATCCTCTAGCTAATGCTAATGATAATGATGATAATAGTTACAAAAGATTGATCGGATATAAATTATTTTTTGATCTCTGATAGGACACTTGGTGATGATGTCGATTGAACCGCTGATTGCCGATATCGCTTCGGGCGGACAATACACGCTCAGCTGGGTGAGATAGAGATGGTAAGAAAGTGGTGACGGAAGATTTAATGGAATTATGAGGTTGTTTTTATATTGTTAAATGATAGGAAATTTTGAGAGATTGATTGAGATTTTTTGAAAGTTTACAAGGTAAAAATTGAATTTTTTAATATTTTTTGTAGGATAAATTAATGAAATTAATGAAAATTTGAAGTTTTTATCTATAAAAGTCGGTAAAGATTTTAGACTTGGAATTTTTGAGAAATATTTTTTTTTAATATATTTGAAATCATTTTGATACTTAAAATGTCAAAAAGTTTTTGTATTAAGATAATTTTTGTCAAAATTAATCAAAACATAAAAAAGTAACATATTTTTGTAGTCGAAAAAAAATAGTTAGTTTTTTGCGGCGTGGTAATATATACTCTAGTAAGATTTGTCTAAAAGCGAGAGGCGCCGGCCATCTAGCAGCGAAACCAAGAACTAACTTTTAAAAAATCATATTTGACATAAAATTCTGAATATTTTATATCTAAATAGTGTATTTTAGAATTTTATATCAAAATTCAGAAGAGAAATTTATAGTAGATATTATTTTTAATCTATTATTAACCATTTTAATACTTTAAATGTCAAAAAAATTTTGTATAAAGCTAATTATTGTTGTCGAAAGCACTTAAAACATGAAAAGTAACGTATTTTCATAGTAAAAAAAAAAGTTTCAGCGGCACCGTACTATATACTCTAGAAAAAATTCTCTGCAAGCGAGAGCCGTAGGCCATCTAGCGGCAAAACCAAGAACTAATTTTCATAAAATTTTATTTGACATCAAATTATAAAGATTTCTTGTATAAATAGTATATTTTAGAATTTTATAAAAAAACTTAGAAGAGAAATATGTAGAAAATATTTTTTTTAATATATTATCAAGCATTTCAATACTTTAACTGTCAAAAAATTTTTTTAGCAAGCTAATTGTTGTCATAAGCTCTCAAACAATAAAAAAGTAACATATTTTCATAGTACAGTCGAAGAAAAAAAAAGTAATTAGTTATTTTCGGCGCTCTAATATATAATCTGGTAAAATTTTTCTGGAAGCGAGAGCCGTAGGCCACCTAGCGGTGAAACCAAGAACTAACTTTTAAAAAATCCTATTTTACATCAAATTTTCAACATTTTTCATCTAAATAGTAAATGTGAAGTTTAATATAAAATTTTTAAGAAATATTTTTGATATATTATCAAATATATCAATATTTTTATGAATAAAATAAAAAAAAAATTTTTTTTACGGCACCTTAGCACTAGTATAAGTTGACACATCTTATCTCCACCTAGGCGATCAATGTAATTTATAATCCTCATTGTTCATAACACAGCCTATCAATTATCCGAATCCAATAAAAAAAAAAAATAAAATCGACTATTATTCTAGTCTAGGCTGTCAAAAGTGGGCTAGCAAAAGCAAATCTGATTTGAAATCAAAATCAAAGTTTAAATCGGATGGGTTGACACTCCGGTTGGAGGCCCGGGCCTCGGAATATTTCGTTAGTTAAGCTCACTTTTGCGAGCGTTCATTCCGTTCTTATATATTAGGTCCGAAGAATAAGAAGGAAAGATCTTTGAAGTAAGGCCCGTTGCGTGTGTTCCTCATACACACGCTTCAAAACGAATTCCGATCGCGTCGTTAAACCCGTCCGGCTGGCAGAGGTTGAGGTTGCCCGGTAAGGTTGCTCTGCAGAGGAGCTGGAAGGAGTGTTGAAAAAAGAACGAGGAGAAATGTTAAATGAGATAAAAAAGGATGCCGAAGAATGGGATGAAACAACCACTGGAATATAATGGATATCGGATTATTGCCAGGCTCATCCGCGTAAGACGAATCGCCTTGAGATTACTTCCGTGCACGCGTGAGTCACGTGGCTGACATCGGGATTAATATGTCTGGTATCAGATGTTACCTAAATATACTAACAAACCGTCTCTTTTTATTCATTCACTAAACGAAAAATAATCGAATAAAGTGGATTATACAATACAACAATATTTATCTACTCGAGAGTCACTTGGGTCAATGGCTGGATAAACACTTGATCTAGTTTTCTTAGGCTCAATGAGTGCAAAAAAAAAGATAATAATTTTTTAGGCTTCAGAAATTTATTACTAGGCAAAAAAAACTTTTTTGTTAATTAAATTAAGCTAAAAAAATTTTTATTAACAAACGCAGAAGTTGAAAATTTCATAAATAACTAGCAACCTTGCAGTGTACTTTCATAAATATTGACGTTTTTAAAGACATAAGCTCATCCCGATGTTACACTCATCAGGAGCTTTCATTTGAGTACCCACATGCATTTTTGATATATTTTTCATATATACATATATATTTTTAAAATATAAGCTCATTTCGATGCTACACTCATCAAGAGCTTTCATTTGAGTACCCACATGCATTTTTGATATATTTTTCATATATATATATATATATATATATATATATATAACATATAGAAATATATAAAATATATGAAAAATTGATGTGGGTACTTAAATGAAAGGTTTTGATGAGTGTAACACCAAGATGAGCTTATATCTTTAAAAACGTCAATAGTTAAGAAAGTACAGTGCAATTTAAAAAAAGTCATTGTTTAATAAAGCAAAATTATATTTATTTTTAAATTATTTTTTTCTATTAAATTACGCTTAGAGATATTTTAATGTTAATTGCACGCCTTAAAAAGCTCAAGTTTCGTTTTTCCGTCAATCTTTTTCTAAATTTATTTAAAAGTAAGCATTTAATAAAAAAAGATTTGAATGCGAACTTAAATACCTAGATTGAATAACTCTAACTGCGAGAACTGTAGCCACCTCGCGGTGACTTTTTAAATTATTTTTTTTCTAATTTTGTTTATAAGTTAGTATTTAATATAAAATTATATTAGCAAACTAATATACCTAGATTTTACAATTCTAACTGCGAGAACTGTAGCCACCTAGCGGCGACTTTCTGAACTAATTTATTTAAAATTCTTTTTATTTTTTTTTAGATGCACTTATGGAAGAATTAATAAAATTTTTGAACAATTAAAGTTTTAAATTAAATATTAAAAAATAATTTATTAGATTACTCACCAGTATCTGGATCAATAGCGAAGCTGCTATTGTGCTGGACAACAGTGTACCTAATTTGGGCGTTTCTGCCCAAATCAGGATCCACCGCACGGATGGTACCGACGACAGTCCCCGAGGGAAGATTCTCTAGAAGTTCGAAGGTGTAGAAGTCCTTGACAAAGTGCGGACTGTTGTCATTGTCATCGAGCACGGTGACCTGGACCATGGAGCTGGCAGTAGCAGCAGGACTCCCGTTGTCTGTGGCCAGGACCGTCAACGAGTAGTGATCGGTTGTCTCTCGATCCAAGGGCTGACGGAGGTAAATCCATCCTGTGTTGGGACTTATGCGGAACAAAGTAGATCCTTGGAGACGGTAACTTATCCTCGCATTATTACCGGTGTCCAAGTCCAGTGCCGTCACTTGGAGAACCTGGGGATGGAAAAAATAGTTACAAGTTACAAGCTGGATAAACGCTGGTATTTAATACGCAGAGAAGGAAGAAGAGAAAGAAGTGCAGAAAAGACGAGGATGGGAAATCAAAGCTATTGGACTGTAACGGTTTGGTGTTCAAGTAAGATTTCCTGGTTGTCCTGGATGAAATTACGCATCTCGGGGTCTCTTAGTCACCGTTTGAAAGATATATGGGAATACGCTTTCTAACAAAGTTAGTCTGAGAAATAAAAGATTTGTGGTGAATTTTTTTTGGATTTACATATTTTAGATTAATTTACTTCTGGGATAGTGTTGATAACGCAGCGAGTATTTATGGGACTCAGGAAATTTTTTTTTGGACTCTTATGTGAGTATTAAAGACCTACTTTCTTAATTTAACAGTAAAGCGACTTTAAAATTTGTTAATTAAGGAATTTATGAATGGAACAAAGTTATAATCATTAAGGTTTAAAATTATGAATCTTGTGATAATTTAATTTATTATTTTATAAGAATTCTATCAATGCAAATTCGCACGTTTTTATGCCAACAATTTTTAAAAAAAGCTAAGATATACTCTGGAAAAATTTTTCTACTAGCGAGAGGCGTAGGCCACCTAGCGGTGAAATCAAAAACTAATTTTTAAAAAATCTTATTTTACATAAAAGTCTCAAAATTTTTTTTCTAAATAGTAAATTGTGTAATTTTATATACAAATTCAGAGTTAGAATTTATAAGAAATATTTTTCTTTAATATATTATCGATCATTTTAATACTTTTAAATCTCAAAAAATTTTTTATCAAGCTAATTGTTGTTAAAAGCTTTCAAAACATAAAAAAGTAGCGTATTTTGATACTAAAAAAAAAATAGTCAGATTTTTGCGGCACCCTTATATATACTCTGGTAATATTTTTCTACTAGCGAGAGGCGTAAGCCACCTAGGGGCGACATCAAGAACTAACTTTAAAAAAATCTTATTTTACATAAAATTCCCAACATTTTTCTTCTAAATAGTATATTGTAGAATTTTATATAAAAATTAAGAAGTGAAATTCTTAAAAAATATTTTTTTTCGGATCTATTATCAACCATTTTAATACTTCAAATGACAAAAAATTTTTTAATTAAACTAATTGTTGTTGAAAGCTCTCAAATCATAAAAAAGTAACATATTTTCATAGTACACTCAAAGAAAAAAAAATAGTTAGTTATTTGCCGCGCTGTAATATATACTCTGGTAATATTTTTCTACTAGCGAGAGGCGTAGGCCACCTAGCGGTAAAACCAAGAACTAAATTTTTAAAAAATTGTATTAAACATAAAAATATCTAAATTTTTCAAAAAAAGCTAACATAATTCATACTCTGGGAAGATTTTTCTACTAGCGAGAAGCGTAGGCCACCTAGCGGTAAAACCAAGAACTAAATTTTAAAAAAATTGTATTAATCCTGAAAATACGTAAAATATCTTTTATTTGTTCTGTAAAAATCATTTTATTTTATAAAAAATTAATTTATTTTCTCGAATAAATTTTTTTATAAGGTAAAAGCTGATAGACCGCAACTGTAAGCAATTGTGAGTGTTGGAGATCATTTAAAGTGGAGAAGATCAGGACCCTGGAGTTTAAAGCCAATAGCAGGACATTAACTCTCGGTAATGTATAATACACAATAATCGAGAATAAATATGTGGTAGTTTATTTTAACGATGTAAAAGAGAAGGTATTGGAAGTATTTGGTGGTGGATGTGTAAGTGCGCCTATCATCCAAGGCCGCTTTATAAATAAAAGGTGGCTCGAGCGATAAACAAATGGAATACTGAAGGTATGACGGGCGTGTAATGAAGATTTTTCTCACCTGGGAATCGAGTTTGGCGCCTTCGGGAATCTCCACGTGATACTCATTCCTCTCGAACACCGGGGGGTTGTCATTCACGTCCTGGACCTCTACGCTGAGAGTTATGTTGGCGGAGAGACCCGCTCCGTCTACGGCGCTGATCATCAAATTGTGCCGCTGCTGGGTCTCGTAGTCCAGCCGACGGGACAGGTAGAGTTCCCCGGTCTGGCTGTCGATTCCAAAGAGATCGTTGCTGTTCTGTCCGAGCTGGTAAGAAACTGCTGCTGGAGGACTCGTATCGGGGTCCCAGGCGTGGGCTACGTACAATGCCGTACGCAGTGGGTGTGACTCGGGAACTGATATACGGACGCTGGTGCTTGGGAAACCTGGTGGGTTGTCATTTACGTCCTCCACTGTCAGTTCCACCTGTAACGATTGCGTTATTGTTTTTAGCTATTTATCATTTGCCTTTTTTTTTGGGTTATGCAATTGGAACTGCATTCTCCTTGATTTTTATATAATTAACTTCAAAGTTTAGAAGGATTGAAGAAGTATACTGAAAAAAAAGTTTTTTTCCACCCTGAATACAAAGTATTTTTATCCAAGTTTTTTTTACATCCAATATACGTTTTCTTAATATAAAAAAACTGGCATTTTTCGCCTGAGAATACCTAAGTTTTTTCTGGAGCTAAAACTTTATGCTGCGTTACCATAGCAACCGCAGCGGTGGCGCCGCAAATTCTCTGATTTTCCTCCAATTTAACAGTCCTGGCGTGTTTGTTTACATCATTGGAAAGTTGTATATACTAATTTATTATTTATTGAACAATTACCAAGCTGTATTACAATTGATATTAAAGTTTGGATGGATTTTTGGGTAGGAAAAAAGTTGCTCAAATGGGATTTACCATCTCTAAAAAAAATCTTTGAAGGTAATTGTCTTTTTAAGAGTTATTCATTGTACAAATTCGATTCAATAAAATAAAAATAGAAATCTCGCCCTTGAAATTAATAAAAAATTCAATTATTCAATAATTTAATTTTTTTTAATTGAATTATAATTAATTTAATTTTCTTAAATATGATGCTGAAGAGCTGTCAATTTTAAAAATTTTTATAACAAATCAATTATCATAAAAGAATGCTACTAAAAAATTTTCACGTGTAATTTTTATTAATTTTCACATGTGGAATTTTTTAATTAAATTTATTTTTTTTAATAATTTAATTGCCATAAAATTCTGAAAAAATTTTTAATGTCTGTCAACTTCAGTGTCATTCTTAAATTTAATTATTATAATTCAATTTATTTAATTTTATTAAATTTAATTATTATTGATAAATTAATAATTATTAATTTTTTAATTATAATAAAGAAGATCCACCGTATGATAAACATATCATATGCATTTGTGTCAAATGAGGTTAAGTCGGCCATATTTTTATTTTGGTATTTTGTTGAGGAGGAAACCGGGTTTTTTAAAAATCACTATACTTATTAATGTAGAAAAAAAGCTTTGGTATTCTCCACGAAGGTATATCAGTTTCTTTACAGCAGGAAAAAATTTTCTAGGTGAAAAAAAACTTTTTTTTCAGTGTATTATTTAACATTTGGTACCAAAACTACAATTTTTTTATACGTCCTTTCAGCACGAATCACTATTAATCCTTAGCTATACCAAAAAAAATCTTAATCATTCACAATTAAATCATACTGCAAAATTGTAAGTATATAAAAAGAACAAAGCTTACTTGACAATATCCAATCCCGACATTATTCCTGATCCCCACACTAAGGACATATTTATCACGTGTCTCACGATCGAAAGGTATCCGAGTTCTGAGTACTCCGGAGGAAGGATCAATAGAGAATTCATTTTCACCGGTAGCGAGAAAAAATCTGCTCGGTCGTTTACCTGCAACACAAAAATAAATAATTAACATAAATATATACAATGGATTAAAATCGGTCCCTCTGCCGGGAAAAAATCGAGCAATAAATAAAAAAGAAGGGTGTAGAAAAAAGCTAAGATTAATCGCTTGTATCGGTCAGTTTAATTCGACTAATTAAAAAGCAACCAGCTAATTTGTAGCAAACCATACTTCTTTCTCACATACACACACACACACACACATATTATATACCCATCTTCCAAACATATCACACTCGCACGTACCCGTCCGACGTTCTAAGCAAGCTTGATCTTTGCTTTTAAATCGCTCGAATATTCACGGTTTTTGCCGGCTTCGAACCAAACGCGATTGCTTTTAAGCCAACTGCGCTTATAGAAACTCCAATTTCTTCCATTTCAACAGTATAAACGCCGAAATTCAGTTTCTAGATTTTTATATAAAGAACTAGCTTGCTACAACACAAAATGGAGGATAGAACTGAAGTTTGCTGAGTATAAACGAAATGGCCGCGATTCCTTGGAGGTTAAAGTTAAAGTGCGCGAGCGGCGCGAAATTTAAAAGCCGGAAAGATAAAAGAAAATATGAGGATTTTTAATATTTGGAGTCGACACTAATTTAATTTTGTTTTTTAAATTAATAATACCGAGTTATTATATTATGTGTTCAACTTGAGTTGGCTGGAATTAAAAAAAAAATATTTATTGTAAAGAAAGTCATCGCCATCTTTTTTGGAGCCCGTTCTCCAAGTAGTGCTTCAAGGTCACCATCATAACTCTTCATTAGTTCATTAAAAATCAATCAAACAACAAATAATCATTTGTTTAATAGTTAATCTAGTAGCAAGATCGAAGCTTTTTTTTATTTTTAAAATTAAGAAAATTAATAAGTCTAACAGTTTACTCGCGAATTTTGTAGAAGAAGAGCTCGAGTTTATTGGTAAAAATGAAAATTTTGGAAAAAAAAAATCCTTGGATCTAGTACTAGCTTTTTATACTTTAAATGAGCTGTATTTTTGGTAAAATCCTAGGAGTGATTTTTTAATGAGTGGTCATTAACTTTGAAAACATAGTATTTAGAGTCACAAGTTTTAAGTTTTTTTCGTCACAAACGGTTTTACCTTTTCCGATAATTTTCATAAAATATTTGTGAGTTAAAAATAATAATAATAAACTACTACAAGCAATGAATTATGTTAATTAATGATGGAATATTCATGGGATGGGTAAAACTCATCTTAGTAATTCCTAAAAAAATTTCACTGCTTAATCGAGTCGGGAGTAAAACAGAGTTTACTCCATACAGTATATATATACATTAATGATGTTTTTTTCTTTTACTTTACTTCCAAATAAAACATTTAGGCTAAAATATCAGCATTGTTTAGAGATCACTGATCGCAGTTGGTATTTACAAGATAAAAGATTGATACGAATTAATCAAAAGTAATTAGTGCGAAATTCGTGAAATTCGTAGCCGGAATGAGAAGAATTGATGAGCGAATTTGAATTGAATATTTAATTTAAGGTGAGTAAGATTAATAACCGATTTTTAATGAATATTTCGGCAATAAATTCCGAGGACAAGTTTCTTTCGATCGTAATTTTTTAAATAAATTACTATAAAAAAAAAAATTGTAATTACTATTACGCAGATAATGTGCTTCCAATAAATATTATTAAGAGAATAAAAAAAATTATTGACATTTTTAAAGATATAAGCTCATCCCGATGTTAGACTCATCGAGACCTTTCATTTGAATACCAACATCAATTTTTTATATATTTTGTATATTTATATATATTATATATATGCATATATGAAAAATATATAAAAAATGCATGTGGGTACTCAAATGAAAGCTCTTGATGAGTATAACATCGGAATGAGTTTATATCTTCAATAATGTCAATATTTAAGAAAGTACAGTGTAATTTAACAAAAGTCATTACTTAATTGAGCAAAACTTCATTTATTCATAGGTAACAGCTTACGGCAGTTATATAATGACTGCTAAGTTGCCAGTAAATATTAACTAAATATGGAATAATAATTCTAAGTCTAAAACTGTAATTGTCACTATTCCATTAGGAATAAAAAAATTTTTTCTCTCCGTGCAGATCTCATTAGAGAAGATTACTCCACTTGGCGTCAAGCTTAGCAAAGCTGGAAAACAGATATTTTATGTGTGGATGTACAATATAATATATAATGCACTGTTAGCCGCGGCGCTGAGAGTATTTATCGGGCGAATAAATTACAATTGCGGTAAGCGGTTATTTTCGACCTTTTTCTCGGATGAGACACGCACGCTTTGAAAAAATGAACCGAGTGTTGGTAAAGAAGGGGTAAAACCTTTTAAACGATGAAAGATAAAAAATAAAGGATTAAGAAATTGAGGACCTCGAGCGCAACGTGAGGTGTCCCTCCGGGGTGCCACGTGGGTGTAACGAAGACAAATCGATTGCGAATTTCGCCGATTCGATAAATATTCTCTCTTATCTCTCTTATCTAAGGGTTGTTGATCAAATGGTAGAGTAATGGGAGTCTAGTGAGTATTTAATGAGGTTTTTTCATTATTTTTATTAATTTAGTTCTAAAGTCACCGCTAGGTGGCTACGATTCTCGTAAGTGAAGTTGTAAAATCAAATGATAAAGGTTATAATCGGTAATTATTACAATTATGCAATTTCACGATAAAGGAACTATTTATTAAGTATCAATAGAGACATTTGTATTGAATGTAATAGATAAATAATTGTTTTTTATCGCTGAGTGATAACACTTGTCGAACTAATATTTTTTGTTGCCATAATTAATTACGCGGAAATAAATTTTGTTTGAAAATTACGGTTGTCTTGTTATAACTCGTAAAAATTACACATGTGAGCTAATTTAATAAATTGTTTACACGCAGCTACGTTTTTTAGTTCCTTTTATTTAATAAAGGCGAGACTTTATCGCGTCGAGGAAATTAGACTGCTAAATTGGTCATGAATAAGTCATCGATCATTCACTTTTGGAGTAGAAAAAACGTTTCGGGGTTATATATACTCTGGCAAGATTTTTCTGCAAGCGAGAAGCGTTGGCCATCTAGCGGCCAAACCAAACACTAACTTCTAATCGAGGATTTTAACTTGTGAAACGTTATTAGGAATAATTTTTGACGAAATTGGAGGATTTTTGAGATTGTTGAAACAAAAAGATAATATCTTTAATGAATATTACCTTCTATCTTAATTCTCGAGGGATAATAAATAATCTGTATCAAGCGGCTATACGAAAAATTATTTGCGAATTTGATGAAACAATTGGCATTGAGCTGAAAAGCTTAACTAGATATATTGATTTAGCAAAAAAAGTGTCCAGTCCGAAGGACGGTGCGGCGTATTTACTTCACTTGGATTGCTCGGTAATGTTTATCGATTCCCAAGATATATAGATCTATATATGTATGTATACGTATTTACAACGAGTCCACGTGGTTTAACAGGGAATAAGACAAAATAAATAAACATATAGGGAAAAAAAATGGCCAGGCTGAGGATAAGAAATAAAAATACGAGACAGCAAAAAAAGTAGCTATGAAGGAGTATATAAATAGCGCTCTATAAATTATGCTGAGCACGTATGTACGTAAAACGAGAGAGTATCTTAAAGCTTATATACCGAGCGACGTTACCATGTCACTGATCTCGGCTGGACGGGTTTGCTAGTGTCACCGAATACCCGGGAAAAATTGTAGCAATGTACCTTTTTTGTTTATGTTCTCTCGAAAAAACCTCGTCCATTCTCAGGACATGACTTCTGATGTTTAAATTTATGAGAAATATCCATTTTTTACCGGCAAACCTTTCGCTAAAAAAATCTCTTCACTTAATTGATTATTTTTTTCGTGATCTCGAGAATTTCTGTTAATTAAAACAACTTGTAAAGATTTTAAGTTTTATCAATTTTTTCCTATTTCTAATATCTTACTCACAATCTTGATTTTAATTCTTCGCAAATAATTTTTCGTATAGCCGCTTGATACAGATTATTTATTATCCCTCGAAAATTAAGACAGAAGGTAATATTCATTAAAGATATCATTTTTTTGTTTCAACAATCTCAAAAATCTTCCAATTTCGTCAAAAATTATTCCCAATAACGTTTCACAAGTTAAAATCCACGATTAGAAGTTAGTGTTTGGTTTCGCCGCTAGATGGCCAACGCTTCTCGCTTGCAGAAAAATCTTGCCAGAGTATATATAACCCCGAAACGTTTTTCTACTCCAAAAGTGAATGATCGATGACTTATTCATCACCAATATAGCAGTCTAATTTCCTCGACGCGATAATAAGGTCTCGCCTTTATTAAATAAAAGGAACTAAAAAACGTAGCTGCGTGTAAACAATTTATTAAATTAGCTCACATGTGTAATTTTTACGAATTATAACAAGAAAACCGTAATTTTCTAACAAAATTTATTTCCGCGTAATTAATTACGGCAAAAAAAAATATTAGTGTCGACAAGTGTTATCACTTGGCGATAAATAACAATTATTTATCTATTACATCCAATACAAATGTCTCTATTGATTATAAGTATTTTTTTCAATTTGAGAAAAATTAGTCCGGAAAGTGGCCGCTAGGTGGCTACGCTTCTCGCAGTTGGAGCGGTAGAACCAGAGTATAAAGGTAGGCTAAAAAAAACCGCGAAATTTGAAAATTCAAATGATTTAACAATTAGGATTGAAATAGAATATTTAAATAAGCGGCAAATCTAGTTGGCATAAATAATAGGCAAATTATACTCAGGAATGTATCGTACGTTGAAAATAATGCTTAACATGCTGAGTTATGTTCACGAATGTTGACGTTGTGTATAAGATAAATTATGATCTATGTGATTATATTCTCGCCTTGTATCGATTATGATCGATACTGTGTATCGATATTTATTCTCTACACATAAACATGATGTCTAAGTAAACGAGGAATGAGCTCTGATATCCTGTAGCTTATTTCTCGTTTAATCATCGTCATCAGTTTTCATCATAAATACATCTACATATACATATACGGAATATGGAGATAGATATATGATGATAATAAGAGGAGTGTCTTCTCATCGACACTCATCCATCCAACTTCCGCAATTTACTTTTACTTAGCTCTCGTAAATCATCATCATCATCATTCTGATCATCAACTCCATCACTGTAATTATCATTCCGATCGCCGGTCAGTAATCTATTTCTAATTTTATTATCTAATCTTATCTAATCCATTCAGATCGTAGATTGGCTCAATGATCTTTCTGATTATTGAAGTTGCGGGAGGTCTTACCAATTCAATTATGTGGGTGGACGGTTTTGTTCATCCCCTTTGAAGGTTTTACTTTTATTGTAGATCTTACAATTGCAATTGAAGTTAGATAAAAAATTTATAGATAAAATAATAAAATAAAAATAAAAGGATAAATAGGCTCCTTTTTGGATTTTATCAACCCTTCTACTTTATATTTTATTAAATATAAAAAAATATATTATCTATATCATTTATATTCACTCAGAAGATTTAATTTAAGAATTTTACAAATTTTTAGCTGGTACAATAATTGGGACATCCTTGTCAAGAATTGGGACATGTGCTTAAAAATGACTATTTTCAGTTAGAATTAATTCTGTATCAACTTATTTATATATATATAAGCCAAATAGGGTTCGTTTGACTAAAGTTGACGTCAAAACTACTGAAGCTATCAAGATGGGACTGCTATCATTCGACGCAGAATTTTTTGTAGATGGTTATAGGCTACTTATTTTTTGGATTTTATTAACCCTTTCTAATTTTTTTACGATTTAGTTTTATATACATTTTTTCCCGCTAATAAAAACAAAAGACTCTCATTTTTCATTCTCATGTTTTTAATACGATTTTCTTTTGTTTTTATTACATAACCTTGATATTTGATTGATTTAACGTCATTTAAAAAAAGTTTAAGAAAGAAGCTAATTATGTCTGGTGAACTAAGTGTTGAAAATTTATATTTATATGCTGATCGTGTGTTTGGTTATGATAATTGGTTCCATGAAATCAAATAGTTAGATTTCTATGAAATCTACTAAAAATGTCATTGTTTATAAACTAGGACTTTTTGAAAGATGAAATTTAGGCCATGTCTATTGAGTTTCAATAACATTTACTAAAAATTTCCTTACAACAAACGTCTCTTTAGCAGCGGGAAAAAAGTCATTGTAAGGTTTCCAAAACTTAACATTACATGTAGTAATTCAGTCAACGGACTAACAATTTTACATACATGTTATTTTTGCTGATTACATAACTTATAAATTGTTGTTATTGCGGGATTGCGGGAATGTAACAGATTAAAATGAATGGATTTTCCAAACACTAGATATGTGAAAAATAAATTTGGCTACTTATTCGTAATAAAAAATAGAATTCGTAAAAAAAATGTTAAATTTATTTTCTTTAAAAAATTGATGTCACTGAGAAAATTTTAAATAACAGAAAAATTGTTGGCACTTTAAGCTAGACAGATTTAAACTTGACTTATGAGACTTGCAGTGACTTTAACTAAAATTTTCAATGCTCATTTGGAATCTGTGCAAATCAAAACAATACTCCAATTAAATTTCAAGTCTAGATCTAAAAATGCAATTTTTAAAAATTCTATTCAAAATTTTCGTAACAATTTGGACTTTAGAATAAATATTTTTGTTGATCAGTTTTTTTGCTGTCTTAGTTGCGACAAGGCATTAAAGTCTCCGGTAAAATAGACATGAACTCGTGTAGACTGAAAGCGATAAAAATAAGACGGCTCTTTACAGCAATAAAAAAATAATTACAACACAATATATTATTTATAAATAAGATTATTAAATAACCATTAAAGACATTAGTAGACAGAAAACAAGAAGGAGATTATCTCGAGGGTTCGATCATAATAAAGCGTATCGATGTCACGACGGCATTAAAGTGTTATGTCGATATAGTCATAAAATGTACCGTGACTATGTTACAATCTATATACACATATCCACACACTTACACGTGTATGTATATATTTATATTTATATACATAAGCGTATACAAAGAAGACTAAAGACTGAAGAGCAGCATCGGAAGAATAAAGTTGAGAGTCGGAGAATTTAGCGATGAAGCGAAGACATCTAGAAAGAACAAGAGTTTAAGAAAATAAGAACGAGTGGGACCCCCGTCGGCGACAGCGTTCCTCCGGCTCGGTATCGCTTCTTCATCGCATTCATCGTCATCCATACGACTGAAGAAAATTTTCTTCTCCTTGCTATCTCTTCTTTTTACACTCCTCATATCTTCTTATTCTCTCTTATTTATTTATTTATTTATTTTTCTCTACTCTACTCCGCACCGAGTCCAGTCGAGTTCACTACAGTTGACTCTTCACTTATTAACTCAAGTTAATCATCATCATTCAATTACAAGCTCTTTTTACGGATAATCGCCGGACATTAACGTGGATTCTTACACTTGAGTCTCGCCTGATCACACTTTTAAATTCGTCATAGTAATTATTGATTTTTCGGATTTTAATGACATATCAAGGAATTTTTTAATTGTGATCTAAATTAGCGCCAGAATTGCATTTTTAGATCTAGACTTGAAATTTAATTGGAGTATTGTTTTGATTTGCACAGATTCCAAATGAGCATTGAAAGTTTTAGTTAAAGTCATTGCAAGTCTCATAAGTCAAGTTGAAATCTGTCTAGCTTCAAGTGCCAACAATTTTTCTGTTATTTAAAATTATCTCAGTGACATCAATTTTTTATAGAAAATAAATTTAACATGTTTTTTACGAATTCTATTTAAATAAGTAGCCAAATTTATTTTTCACATATCTAGTGTTTGGAAAATCCATTCATTTTAATCTGTTACATTCCCGCGATCCCGCAATAAGAACAATTTATAAGTTATGTAATCAGCAAAAATAACATGTATGTAAAATTGTTAGTCCGTTGACTGAATTACTACATGTAATGTTAAGTTTTGGAAACCTTACAATGACTTTTTTCCCGCTGCTAAAGAGACGTTTGTTGTAAGGAAATTTTTAGTAAATGTTATTGAAACTCAATAGACATGGCCTAAATTTCATCTTTCAAAAAGTCCTAGTTTATAAACAATGACATTTTTAGTAGATTTCATAGAAATCTAACTATTTTATTTCATGGAACCAATTATCATAACCAAACACACGATCAGCATATAAATATAAATTTTCAACACTTAGTTCACCAGACATAATTAGCTTCTTTCTTAAACTTTTTTTAAATTACGTTAAAAATAACAAATATTAAGATTATGTAATAAAAACAAAAGAAAATCGTATTAAAAACAAATGAATGAAAAATGAGTCTTTTGTTTTTACTAGCGGGAAAAAATGTATATAAAAGTAAATCGTAAAAAAATGAGAAAGGGTTGATAAAATCCAAAAAATAAGTAGCCTATAACCATCTACGAAAAATTCTGCATCGAATGGTAGCAGTCCCATTCCGATAGCTTCAGTAGTTTTGACGTCAACTTTAGTCAAACGAACCCTATTTTGCTTATATATATATATATATAAATAAGTTGATACAGAATTAATTCTAACTGAAAATAGTCATTTTCAAACACATGTCCCAATTCCTGACAAGGATGTCCCAATTATTGTACCAGATAAAAATTTGTAAAATTCTTAAATTAAATCTTTTGAATGAATATAAATGATATAGATAATATATTTTTTTATATTTAATTAAATATAAAGGGGAAGGGTTGATAAAATCCAAAAAATAAGTAGCCTATAACCATATACGAAAAATTCTGCGTCGAATGGTTGCAGTTCCATCCCGCTAGCTTCAGTAGTTTTGACCTCAACTTCAGTCAAAGGAACCCTATCTTGCTTATAGATATACTTTAATTACTTTCAATTATTTTCTTAAATTTTTTAGTTCCTACTGTCCAAGTACACTGCTAGCAAAAAACTGAAAAATGGCAACGTGAAGAAAAAACTTTTTTTGACGAAACAAAAAATGATAAAGCCCAGTGAAAAAAAAAATTCAGGAATAAGGCGGGCGGGTTTTTTATTCGCGTACAGAGAAGCAGGTGAGTGAAATGACAACCGAAAGAAGGAGTAACTAAAGGAATAAGTAAAAGTCTAAAAAAATAAACCGAAAAAATGCAAGTAGCAGACCTCGAGGAAAAAGACCAACCAGAAAATAAGAAGGAGGAATAAGAGAAAGAATACGTATACGAATTTCTCGGAATGGAGTTACGCAAATTAGAGTTTGCTGGAGAGGATCGCAGGACGTACGACTGGGCCCTATCGGATGATCTCCTGATCCTCCATGAGAGCAACAGAGCAACAGACTTAATATAATGTTAAATGTATGCGGTTTAAAGAAGAGAGAGAGAGAGAGAGAGAGAGAGACTAAGAGAGATGGAGGATGAAGAGTCGAATAGTCGGACACTGCACTGAGACCGCGGGTTTAGATTTGTTTCGAATGCGCCGCGGGATTCGCCGGCTCTGTTTGTACGGACTCCGAGTTTTAAAGAGCACACTTTAAATTTGCAAGTCGCGGTGAAAGCTGGCCCACGGGGTTTGCAGTCACTGTCCTGTGTGTCGGTTTATTTTTATAGATTTTTTTTTTCGAAGTTGGTGTGAGTGCAAGGGTATTTGCTGAAAACTTATGCCCGAACCAAACCAGCCATTGATCTGGTCAGCCTCGGGATTTTCTGTAAATATATTTCTTGATTATTATCGCCCGTTTGTTTATTAAGCTGATTAATCGCGACAATGACAGCTCGTGGGTTTTTAGTTTTTGTTTCAATTCGTATAAAAAGTCCGAGCTTTATATTTAGTCTGGTAGGAGTTTTCTGCTAGCAAGAGACATTCGCCATCTAGCGGAGAAAAAAATAATTCATTTCAAAATACTGTATGAAAGAATATTAAGATTAAAGCTCCTAATTTTTGTAATTGTAGAAAATTAGCTTGTAGAATTTAATTATAAACATAGTTTATTAAAAAATTTAAATTCTAATGATTCTTAATAAAAAAAAAGAAAAAAATGAATATTTATTTGGATTTATATGATTTTTACCATAAAATTGTTGATACAAAGCCTCCTAAATTTCTGCAAGACTTAAAAAAATTTCAGGGCTTATATATACCCAGAAATCATACTAAAGTCTCTAATTTATGTGATTTTAGTAGTTTGATTGGTTAAATTTGATCATATATCAAAAAACTGTGTTTTAATAAATTTTTGAAGTATTTTAGATCAAAATTGAAAAGCAATGTCATCAATGAAATATAAATTACGATTTTTATTATGAAAAATGCTGTCAAAAGCCTCCTAAATATCTAAGTTACTCAACAAAATTTCTGGATTAATATATACTCTGAATAAAACATTTCTACTAGCGAGAAGCGTTCGCCATCTAGCGGCGAAACCAAGAACTATCTTATTTTAAACCACAAGTGGATATTTTTGAATTAAAGTCTCTAATTTATGTAATTTTAGTAGTGTTATTGGTTAAATTTGATCATATATATCAAGAAACTGTTTTTAATAAATTTTTGAAGTGTTTTACATCAAAAGCAAGAACTAATGTCATCAAATAAATATTAATCACAATTTTTAGCATAAAAAATTCTGTAAAAAGCCTCCTAAATGTCTAAATAACTTAATAAAATTTCTGGGCTAATATATACTCTAGAAAAACCTTTCTACTAGCGAGAAAGATTCGCCACCTAGCGGCAAAACCAAAAACTACTAATAAAAAAAATCCAGTAAATTTATAAAATTCCAGAATATCGTTCCTCAAATAATTGATTTCCGTCAAATGACAGGAACAAAAAGCAGTTAATTAAGTATCTGGATCCTTGATCAGACAATACAAGACAATGTATATCAAGATACGATAGTTGTCTGTAGGTTGTTACTGGGGCGGGCTTCTCGGGTCCAAGGCTCGCCGCGGTAATATTTAAAGTGTATGCAAAGAGTCAGGGGGTAGAGTTGGGACGGAGAGGATCTCCTCACTAACAGTAGGGAGACAAAAAGACTGAACAATGGCAGCTTGCGTTCGGATGCCCGGAATCCGACTGTAGGATTTATGCTCGCTCTGTATGTGTCTTCTTCTACCACCTCATCCTCATTCCAAGCGATCTCTCATGCTCTGTAGCTCTTGTCTCAGCTCAACATATCCTTAGATGAGACTTTAGGCCGATACTCCCACGTTTATCCTTATAACTTAGTCCCATCTGCTCTCGGCTAACAATCACCAGATCTTTAGATTTTAAACATCAGCAAAATTATGCTTCCAACTGTTGAGACTTGAGACGACAAAGTTCGGACTGTATTCCTTAATCTCCGGTGCCTTTTTAATGAACTCTATTTATTCTTATTATGTACGTACATATATTTTATAGTGAGTCAGTATATCAGTCGTGAATTATTTATTCATGACTATTTATCTGCATAGGTTGTCGTACAGAGTTGAGAGTTGTGTTGCCTCTGAATAACAATTTTAAAATAAATATACCCGGATCAAAAGCAAAATACTGATGGTGGATATTAATGCTCGTAAATCATCCTATCGGTTTAATATTATTATTTTTATTGTCAAACATGTGTATATATATATCCTCACAAGTAGTTTTATTTATGCTTTAGTACACCAACGTGTCACTGGGTTACTGCATGCACTTTCTCTTGCTAAGTAGGAGCGGTCTTTTCAATAAAAAATTTAGATTTTTTTAAATTATTTTCGTTAAATATCATTTAATCGTCAAGACGATGATAGCCCGATTAAACCCGAGAAAAGAAAGCTGTAAGCTACGAGCTAATCAATTCTTATTACTATATAATTTATATCGGGATTTTTTTTAAATCTTAGAGTTTCATTAGAGTAAGACGTTGAGAGTCATAAAAATCTGGGACCATGTCGTGTGTGTAACTCGGGTCGAGATCTTTTCACTTTTCGTTACCAACAACATTCAGATGTGCTAATCCGATCCTGTGGAAAGTTTTGGTTTACGAGGCTCCAGTCTTTCGTACTAATAATTATGTTTATTAAAGTATTTTCGCTTCGGGCTGCTTCTCAAGGAAGTCATCGGGCTTTCTGCAATCACATCTTTAAGTAGAATTTAAGATGAAAGTACTCGATTGCAGATTTGAAATTAAGTAGTTCTTGGTTTTGCCGATAGATGGCGAATGTTTCTCGCTAGTAGAAATTTTTTTCCAGACTATATAAAAGCCCAAAATTTTTCTTCAGTCATGTGACATTTATTAGTAACATTTATTAATCAGTAA